CCATCTCATGAGAAGAGAAGACTCCCTGGAAAAGACCCTGATGTTGGAAAAGTGTGAAGGCAAGAGGAGAAGGGGATGACAAAGGACGAGATGGTTGGACAGTGACATCGAAGCTACCAACATGAATTTGACACAACTACGGGAGGCAGTGGAAGACAGGAGGGCCTGGCGTGCTCTGGTCCATGGGGTCACGAAGAGTCGGACATGACTAAACAACAACAACAATGCCTATTAAAACAAAATGCAGTTAGTATAGTTATCACCTGTGGATATATGTGTCAATAAATGTGAATGTTCAGAACAGGTATCTTTTCAAGTTATGCTAAACAATGGCAATGATGATTTTGCTCATCATGTATATGCTGGTCTCTACTTTCTAAGTTACCCATGGGATGGATATTTTTATATCGCATTCTATTATTTTTAATGTCGTGCTAACATTGGATAGAACTGGTTTGGTTGATGTTTCACTTCGTGCGAACCGTTTTGCTGAAATGAAATGAAGTGCCAAACTTTTTTCTGCTTGGCCCTTGATTTTGTTTCAGCAAAAACGGATGCCCCCCATCCCCTTTCAACAAACTGCAAACCAACCACAAACCACAAACCACCAAGATTTAGCATTTTTCTGTTCATACCCATCTCTCTAAATGCGCATATGAATGAATGAACCTGAAGCATGTTAAGGGAAAAGAAAAATACATACTTAAGGGAAAACTGTATGCACAAATAAATGCAACTTTTCAGGCACTTTAAAAAATATTAATTGAAGAATGATTCACAGTTTAACCAAATTATGGTTAAATCCATATGAAACAAGCCCAGACTAGAAATAATTGTGTTTTTTTCCATCCCTCTTCACCAGACATTTTCTTACCTTTCCCATTGAGTGCATTAGTCCTTCATGACACACTTTTGAACATTTTTATTCCAAGAGAACCACAACTCCATTGATGACAATGGCAATGCTGGCTGTTTCCTGCTTTGTTTTGCTGCTGGCCAAAGGGAATCTGCTTGGTATATTTTACTCTGCATATGCTCTGTCAGGTTCAATTACCGTATTTGCCAGTGTACAAGACGACTTGGTGTATAAGATGACCCCCCCCCAACATTTCCACTCAAAATATAGAGTGGACGGCTCTGCTGCAGTGCCGGAGGCGGCTGCCTGGGGCTCTGCCCGGGCCTGCCCTGGAAGTTCATGGCCGCCGATGAGGAGGGTGAGGAGGAGGGGAAGTGGCTGGGTGGACGGTGGCAGTGGAGGAGAAGGAGGGGAAGCACCTCTCCAGCAGTGGGTGGGTGAGCAGACAGCTGGCTCAGCGGCGTGGGGTGGCGGGCAGCCCGGCGGCAGGCTCTGGCTGCTCAGGCATGGCTGGCTCTGCTTTCCTCCCTCCGTCTGGACTGACCGCCTGCCTGCCCGCCTGCCTTCCTCCCCGGCTGGCAGGGCCCCACATCACTCACTCAACGACAGTGGCGGCTCCTTCATGGCCCAACTGAAGTGCACCCGGCGTATAAGACAACCCCCCCCCCCACTTGGAGGCATGTTTTTTGGACCAAAAAAGTCATCTTATACGCCGGCAAAAATGGTAGCAAAAAAGTGAGCTGCTAACAACATGCTTCTGTTGCTAGTGAAGAGTGGAAGAAGCACAAATCTGAATAGATCTTATTTCTCATTGTGCTTTTCGTAAACTTAATCACTTACTACTTTATACTAACTTGGTTTGTTTACTTCCTTTCAATTTCTGTGAAAGAGCCACAGTGAGATGAAATGTGCTGCGCCTGTATTGAAGATAATGTACCACATGGCCTACCCTTTTCTCAAAATCAACTGAAACCTTGTTTGTATTGAAGCAGTACACCTGTATCAGGGCTGTACTATTTTCAGTTAGTGAATGCTTCCTCATATAAAATCAAATTTTATACACATCGTTTTGCACTGATGAACTAACACGCTGGAAAAGGTTATGCTAGAGTTCTGCACAGCGAAAAATGGTTTTATTTTACAGACCACATTCCTAATTGTTCCAAGGTTCACTAACTCAGGCAGGCTGGTTATGCACTTACCAATACTTGTACTTTTAAAAGGAACATTTCTGCAACTGAGTTCTAACAAGAATTAGTGTGATCCTCCACCTTCCATTTCATAGGGCAGTTCTCTATCTGAATGGCTATTCAGTCCACATCTGGTCTAAAAATAATGAATCGTAATACAGAAGATGAGAAGTTCCCCATCAGCGGTTAACATCTGGGGAACAGATTGAGTAGGCACACAAGTTACCTTCTTACACTTTTTCTCTATGAAGAATTATATTTCTAATTTCTGGCTGGAATCCAGTTGATCTCTGCACAACATAAAGGTACATAGGCATAACTTCGCTGGGTGTTATGCCCAGGCAACACAGATTGTGCAATTCAACAGTCGGTTGCAACCAGTTGCATAATATGCTGGTAGAAGTACTTTGTGAACAGCACTTCCACCTTAGTGCTATTGTAGCCACCACATGCATAACGTCAAGTTACATCCACATAGCTATGCAACAGGATTTCAGCTATTGTATTTATAGGCTAATGGAGGAGCCTCATGTCACAGTGGTTAAACTGTAGTACTTCAGCCAATGTTCTGCTCATGACTTCAGTTCAACATGGACAGATTCAGGTATCCGGCTTGAGGTTGATTTAGCCTTCCATCCTTCTGAGGTTGGTAAATTGAGTACCCAGCTCTCCGGGGTGGCACTGTATAGCCTGCATAATTCAGTTATAAACCACCTAGAGAGTGTTTTTTGCACTATGTGGCAGTATAGAAGCAGCATACCTTTTGCTTTAAGCTTGTGATTATACGAAGAATGCAAATCCTATCATGTATTATCCTCATGAGCAAAGATGAAGAATCATAAAATTGTCCTCCTTACCCCATGTGAGCACAAGCTACTTGGTTGCACTCTCAACAAGGCAAAAATAAATTGTGTGTGTTTCACAAAATAAAGTAAATAATACTTTAAAGCAAATAACGCCAATTTTGCAAGATGAAATGGACCACTTCTTTATTGCATGGACTTTTAAGCATTAGAAATATTGGGCATGTTTGCATCTTTCTAAACAATCACCCAGTTATTCTGTGCTTCCTATGTGTACGTGTCCTTCACTTCTCAAAAGAAAAATTCTGCAGTTTCATGAAAAGACAGTTTGTATAAATGACAAAGACCTTGACAAGTTAAAGTAGTATTCTTTGTCTCGCTCTTGCCAGAGGCAGGGAATCTTGTGAGATTTGAAAATTCCTATTGAATGTAATCATTAAATTGGCAGAATCTAAATCTATGAGAATGGACAGTTTATTTATTCTTCTTTACATTCTATATTCATATAGATCAGGATGTAGCAAAATCCATGGATCTCACCTAGTTCAAGATATGTTCACAAATGGATACTAGTGCACACAGTCCATATAAAATAGCACTATGATAGTATTTAATAATTTTAGTCCTTTTTTAGTGATGCAGATCTCACCTAGTTCAAGATATGTTCACAAATGGATACTAGTGCATGCAGTCCATATAAAATAGCACTATGATAGTATTTAATAATTGTAGTCCTTTTTTAGTGATGCATCACCTCTTCCTTCCTTCCTTCCTTCCTTCCTGTAACAAATGTCATCAGCAGTGTTGATGGGGCT